TAGGGAAAAGTGTGTAAGTGATACGGGCAACAACTAAAGATAGACAATAAGTTAATAAGCTGGCGAATAAGTTTTACCTTGCAGATGTCTAGTAACAGTCCTTACCTCCATCACTCCTTTAACAGATGCATATTGACAACAACCATATAGAAGCCCCAGTGGGAGAAAAAAAAATGGATGCAGTCAGGCTCGAAAATCAAATTTTCTTTGAGGCATCTAGAATATCATTCAGCCTGCTAATGTTTAAGACTGCTAAATTATTGTACATGTTCATTACTATTTAAGTGGAAAGACTAATATTATAGGTTCAGACCCTACAGCCATTAAAAATTTATCTACAACACATTCTTATTCATCCAAATCAAGCTTAATTCTGTGTGAGCTAGTAGCAAAAACACAGGAAATCCTGTCTTGAATTAGAAAAAGGGAGAAATGTCGTTTCTAACAGAATTTACCACTGTTCTCTACATGTAATTCAGATGTGCACATATTTTTTTCTGCTCTAATGGAACATCAAGGTAGAACTTCACCACTTTCTTATATTCATAGGTATGTCTGAACCCATAACTTAAACACAAAGAAAAATAAAAGTGAAAGCAACTTTCTGAGACAAATATTTGAAAGCTCTTCATAGACTGCATGCCTGTAATCTCAATGACTCAGGAGGCTGAGACAGGAGGGTTGCAAGTTCAAAGCCAGCCTCAGTAACTTAATAAGGCCCTGAGCCACTTCAGGAGACCCTGTCTCAAAATTTAAAAAAAATAAATAAATAAAAGAAGAATGGAGATGAGCCTTAGTAGATAAGCACCCCTGATTTCAATCCCTAATACTACTACTACTACTAATAAGTTTTCTGAGAAAGGGATTAAATTAGGATTGCAGAAAATGATTCAATTAGAATTCCCCATTATTCAGCATTCCAAAGAGAATAAGAGCCTCCTCACTGAAGCTAGGAAGAACATAAAAGCAGTAAGATAGCCATTATTATGATTAAATAAAAACAAAATGAAAGCTGACATTTCTCTATTTTACATTTAAGAACTAAATATCTACCAATTAATAAAGATAAAGGTCTAGTGGGTGTTATAAGTCTTATATTAAAAATAAAATTACCCTCATTGATAGGTGAAATTGATCTGGCATTTCACAGGAGAAGATAAATGGATTTTTAAAAATGTTTTTCTCCTCCTTATATAGGACACTTCAACTATTTATATAAAAAATTCATTCAAAAGGCCTAGGTTTATCATATTCAAGTGTTAAAGGCCAAAGACAAAGCATTTTCAAAACAGCACAAGGAAAAACAACTTATCACATACAGGGGATCCTCAAAAATATTTGTAGCTGATTTCTTATCCAAAACCAGGAGGGTCAAGAGGGAGAAATATTCAAAGTATTTAAAATGTCTGGAAATCTCAGGTGTAGCAAAATTATCTTTCAAAAATAAAGATGAAATTAAAACATTCCCATATTTTAAAAAAATATCCAAACTGAGAGAATTTACTGCTACCAGACCCAACCTTCAAGAATTACCTGTTTGGTGGTGCATGCCTGTAATCCCAGTGGCTCAGGAGGCTGAGGCAGGAGGATCGTGAGTTCAAAGCCAGCCTCAGCAAAAGTGAGGCCCTAAGCAACTCAGTGAGACCCTGTCTCTAAATAAAATACAAATTAGGGCTGGGGATGTGGCTCAGTGGTTGAGTGCTCCTGAGTTCAATCCCTGGTTACCCCTCCTCCAACAAAACAAAACAGTAAATGAATTAAACACTCTGATCAAAAGGCAAGGAGAACAATAATGGATAAAAAAAAAACTATGACCCAGTATACACTACCTACAAGATGCAGTTTAGATCCCAAGACAATTAAACAGTCACCCAATATGAGACAAAATATTTTATCATGCAAATGGGTCAATCCATCAGGAAGACATAAAAATTATAAATATATGCACGTAACAGAGCTTTACAAAATGTAGAGCACAACCTGTCAGAACTGAAGAGAAGAACAGACAATGTAACAATAACACTCTTATTTCCAATGAAAAGCTAGGCAGAAAAACTAGGCAGATGGACAAGGAGAAAGAAGACTTGAAAAACAGTATAAGCCAACTAGTTCTAATATACACCCATAGAACTCTCCACTGTACCACAGCAGAAATATTCTTTTAAAATGTACATGGAACAATCTCTAAGATAAGACAATATTTTAGGTCAAAACATAGGTCCAATAAGTATAAAAAGATGGAAATTACACAAAGTATCTTTTTTGATGACAATGGAATGACTTTTAAATCCACAGTCAAGAGAGTATTTGAAAAGCAACTTGTGGAAATTAAGCAGTGCACTTCTGCACAGCAGAGAAGAAGTCACAGGGACACTGGAAGATGCTCTGAGTTGAATGAAAACGATGTGTTTAGTTTTCAAGTCTCCAAAGCTTCGCCTAAAATGGTGATCGTGGACTTATTGTTGGAAATGCCTGTATTAAAGAATTTTAGGATTAATAATCCAGTTTTTAACCCAGAAAAAGAAGAATAAACTACACCCACCACAAGCAGGAAAAAGAAATTAATCATGGTTTGAGCAGAAATGAAAGAACGAGGACAGGAAAATGAGAAAATCACTGCAAAGCAAAAATTGGTTATTTGAAAATATCAAAAAAATTGAAAAAAAACTTTAGCTTGACTAGTAGGCAGGAAGGAAAAACAGAAGGCACAAAAAAGGGCACCCCACTACTGACCTTCTTCCAGCCAAAGGAAAACAGGGAACACTCTAACAACTGTACCCAGCTAACCAGACCACCTGGCTGAAATGACAATCTCCTAAAACTGACTCAAGAAGAAACAAATTCTGGCTCAACACTAAGGAGACACTTTAGAATTTAAGAATTTTTAAATGTAAAATTAAAAAATTCCTATAAAGAAAAACTCAGACTCAAGTGAATTCTTCCAAACATTTAGAGAGAGAACCAATCCAAAACTTCCAAAGCATAGTTTTCCTCTTTCTTTTTTTGGACAAGTAGATGTAAAGAGAATATTTTCCAACTAATTTTATACAACTATTACTCTTAACCACAAACACCTAAGAAAAACATCACACACACACACACCAACAACAACCTAGAGAACAATGTCTTTTATAAGTATAGATGCAAAAACTTCAGCAAAAATCCCAGCAAACTGAAATGTACAGCACCTAAAAAGAATCACATACTATAATCAAGCTAGGTTGATCCCAGGAAAGCAAGGTTTACCATTCAAAAATCATTGTACTAGACCATTATCAATAAAATAAAACAATCATCTCAGAAACACACACACACATAGAATACACACAAGACAGAATCCAATAGCTTTTTATAATAAAAATATTCAAAAAATTAGGGATAAGAAAGGAACTTATTCAACCTCATAAAGATCATCTTTGAAAAATCCACAGTTAATATCACAATTAGCTGGGCTCAATGGACGGCACCTGAAATCCCAGCAGCTTGGGAGGCTGAGGCAGGATTAAAGCCAGCCTCAGCAATGGCAAGGCACTAAGCAAGTCAGTGAGACCCTGTCTCTAAATAAAATACAAAATAGGGCTGGGATGTGGCTCAGTGGTTAAACACCCCAGGGTTCAATCCATGGTACGTGCCCCCCCCAAAAAAATTATTGTAAATGGAATTCTTTTCTTGTTTGTTTGTTTATTGCCTCGAAATTGCTGAGGGTGGCTTTGAACTCACAATCCTCCTGACTAAGCCTCCCAAGCTGCTGGAATTATAGGCATGTGCCACTGCACCTGGCTCTAAAACTATTTCTAAAAAAAAATTTGCATAACTGTCTAGAAACTGAAAAACCACCACCACAATTCACAGACTAGGAAATGTTATTTACAAATCATAGACCCGATGAGGTCTAATATTCTGAATATTCTAATATTCAGAACTGACAACTCATAACAAATATAGAATTCTGAATGTGCTAATATTCAGAATTGATAACTCATAACAAAATAGAAAAATGAATAAATGACTTGAGTAGCTATTTTTCCAAAGAAGCACTGCATGATCCAATAAGCATCTAGAAAATTGTTCAACATCATGATTCATTTTGGAAATGTTAAGACTACCATGAGATTCTACTCTGTTCCCACTAGCGAAATCTAAAATAAAAAAGATAGCAAGTGTCCGAGAGCATGAGGAGAAACCAGAATCCCATACATTGCCAGCAGGTGTGTAAAATCCTGAAGCCACTTTGAAAAAACAGTTTGACAGTTCTTTGGTCACACCTAGAGCTACCACAGGACCCAAAGATTCCATTCCCAGGTGCAATCTCAAGAGAATTCACATAACTAGTGCATGAATGTTCACACCAACGTTAATCATAAAACCCCCAAAGTAAGCACCATCAAATATCCGCCATCTGATGCATGGATGAAACAAAACCTATATCCATACAGCAGGATGTCACTGAGTCACAGAAAAGGAACTGATGCTTTAAAACTATGCTCAGGGGTTGGGGCTCAGTGGTAGAGTGCTCACCTAGCATGTGTGAGGCGCTGGGTTTGATCCTCAGCACCACATTAAAAATAAACAAATAAAATAAAGGTGTTGTGCCCAATTATACTTGAAAAAATATTAAAAATAAAACAAAACTATTCTCAGGGGTGTGGGTAGCTCAGGCCCCAGATCCAATCCCCCCACTGGGGGAGAAGACCCAGCAAAGTGAGAAAAGGAGAGTTCCTCAGGCCACATGCTGTCCACCAGCACTCATGTTAACTGTCCAGAGCAGGCAGGTCACACACACCCATGGACTAGTGACCGCCATGGCTGGTGGCAAGGAGAAGAGGAAATGCCTGCTAAGGCGTGGGGTTGTAGTTTCTTTCAGAAATGATAAAAATGTTATAAATCAGAGATGACACAAATTTTGAAGACTCTAAATACAAAGTTCACGTTTTAAAGAGACACATTTTTATTACATGTAAAAATTATATTTATAATAAACACACACCTACACACACACACACACACACACACACAGATTTACTGAGCAACAATTCACATATACTTCAGCTTGCCCATTTGAAGTTCACAACTGAATGGCCTGTGGTGCATTCACGAGTAAGTGTTGTCATGACCACAGTCAATTTTAAGATATCTTTGTCATCTCATGGAGAAGCACTTTGTAGCTACTCCCCTTCTCCCTTCATCTCTCCCCAGGCTGGAGCACCTCCTAGGGCACTTCCTACTACAGATCTCCCTGTCCTGGGACTTCCCTGTGACTGGGTCATGGAATCTGCGGTTCTTTGTCAGTGACCACTTTCCCTTAGCTTATCATTTTCAAAGTTCATCCAGGCTTTGGGAGGGATGGGACAGGTGGCATTTTATGGCCTGATAATCCTGCAATGTCTGGCTATGCCACCTTCCTCTATTCATCCATTGACTGGTGGGCACTTGGGTGCCCATTTTTTGGCTATCATAAATAGTGCTGCTGTGAACACACATGTGGAAAGGTTTCCGTGAAATGTAAATTTGTCCCAGGAGAGGAACTGATCGTAACTGTTAAAATGAGGAACTTCTAAGGCTGCCTTCCAAAGGAACTGCCCATCTTGTACTGTCCCCCAGTAGTGGTGGGTCGGGGGTTTCAGGTGTGTCCCCTTGTTTGCCAGTGCTGGCTCCTACCTGGCTCTACCTGCCATCTTAGAGGGTGTGAGCTGGTCATGCTTTCAATTTTTTGTTTTTGTTTTTTTAAGGCGTGGGAGAGCGTACAGAGCTGGAAACTTTGATCTCCTGATAAGTGTTTTCATGATTCCCATTAACACCAGATGGCTGGGGTTTTTTTGAAATGGGGGTGGGAGGAAGCCTGAACTGAATCGAAGGGGTGGGCCTGAGAGAGGTGAAATCAACCACTCTAATCCAGAGTCTGCCAGTGCCTGAGGTAAGAGGCTGCTGCAGAAATCCTCCCTGGAAGTCCTCCCTGGATGGTCCGAGGGAAAGGCTACCCTGTGGCAGGAGCAGGAGGAAGTGGCAGACAGTCTTGTTCCAGGGCGCTGTGGAACGAGATTAATGGTCTAGGGCTCCCTGAGCAATGGGTGATGAACCACGGACGGCACAGCCATTCCGTGCCTAGGGAACCGGAACCGGGCACAGCCTGGGACCCCCCGCAGAAGACCCCTAAGAAGGACCAGCACAGTCTGGAGCTCTGCTACCGTGTTCTCCATGCTTACTTCTCCCTGGTCTGAACCAGGCAGGAGGGTGGCCAGGAGGCCACACCAAGCACGGGTTTGTCTCAGTGGGGTGAAGAGTGAACTGTGGACAGAGGACATTCCTCTTTTATTCCCAGCAGGGAAATGGCTACTGTCAGAGCTAAAAGTAGGTCACAGACATGGCCCAGCAGAAACCCTGTACTGCTAGGTGGGTTTCTGGTTAGGACTGTCCCAGCCAGGATCTGGCAGCAGGAGAGATGTGCAACTGCCCAGTAGGGCCTGACGGGCGTGGAATCCTGTCCTCTCTCCTGCTCCAAGCAAATGCCAGGAACAACTCAAAATCCATCTCAATCTTTGCCCCCGTGTTTGTGGCCGAGAGGCTGTGTCATTCCTGTCTGGGCTAGCCTGTGTGTGTGTGTGTGTGTGTGTGTGTGTGTGTGCAGCTGTTAAGCATTTTCTGTACTCTTTGCAACCACACTTGGATCCTGAGTACTCCTGGTCAAAAAAAGATGACATTCTAACAACCAGTAGGAAGGAGCCATCTCTAGCTACCCCTGTAGATTTCAGGGGTTTGGCGAAACTGCCAGAGTGCAGGTGAACCTGGACGGACTGTTTTTACTAGAGTGAATGTTCTTCCCAGACCTATCCTTCCTGCGGTGAACCATCATATGGTGCATCAATTCCCAGCGACACCAGGGCACCAGATCTCTCCTGAAACACCAGAAATATCTTCCTGTGACTGATTATTCTGAGTGTCAGTGAGCCCTGCATGCTGCCCTCTAATTAAAAGCACATCCTCCAAGCGTCACAGGAAGCACCTTGTGGTAAATGTCATGTGTGGTTTCAGCGGGAGGTAAACTGCATCCAGGGGCCAATCTGCAGCTGTGGGATGGGGTTTCCTGAGATCACAGCAATGACTCCCACAAGCAGAAGGCCCACCTGGCTTCTTTTCCCTTCATGGAAAAAAAAAATCTTCGACAAGGTCTTACCACACACAAATCTCTTTGGTGGTACTGAGAAAATGCTCTGGCCCTTCAGTGACTCTAGTTGGGCACAATGGCTGTCACAAAGGCCTGCAGTGTTGTGCTTTCAAGCCATGGAGGCAGCCACTTGAGCTGGCAGTCACACAGGAAGCTGTCACTGCTGATGTGGCTGAGAGAAAGAAAAAGACACTGAGTGTGGGACTGAGTGGGAAGAGTGCAGCTTTAACAGCTGAGAACATTTATCGCCACCCACAGCGTGTGACACCAACACCCGCGAGCTGACTGGGAGATGTCTTCCCCACAGTTTGTTCCTCTCTGCTGGAGGAACAGCGCCTAGATCCTACCTGGAGATTCGCACCAAGTGCAGCTTTTGACGGGAGTCCGTCAGGGTGGAGCCCAACTCTGCCCTCCTACTGAGCTCCAGGGGGGAACTGAGACCCCCTGGTCCAGAGGCTGCACTTGGCCCTTGTTCTCATACTCTGCTTCTGTTACCTTGGGGACACCTTCTCACCTTTTCCTGACCTTGGATACACCTTACAGTGGCAAGAGCACTGTCCTGATAAATTCCAAACTCAGTCCCCAGCCCTGGGACTTTGATCTCAACTCTGCAACAAGTTCTAATATGTCTTCTTTTTTCTTTTATGGATGCTTCTTTTTTACTGGCCAAGCGGGGTTCAGGGATTGAACCCAGAGGCACTTAACCACCAAGCACATCCCCAGCTCTTTTTAATTTTTTTATTTAAACACAGGGTTTCGCTGAGTTGCTCAGTGCCTCGCTAAGTTGCTGAGGCTGGCTTTGAACTCGTGATTCTCCTGCCTCAGCCTCCTGAGCCGCTGGAATTGCAGGCAAGCACCACAACATCTGAAAAAGCTGCATGTTTTCTTACTTCTGAATGTCAGCCTCCCAGCCACATGTCCCGCATGCCTGCCCCTCTCTCTACAGGAGCATCACTCAGGAGGTTGGGAGAATGCAGCCCTACTCCATAAATAGTGCTCATTAGTTAACTGCCTCTGCCCAGGGAGCAGGAGAATGTTCACCTTGGGTTTTGTGAGCCTCCAAACAAAACAGAGAATATTTTCTTTTTCATTTCTCAGCAACTGAGGATAAACTTTTCAAACAGAAATCAGAATGGCCATCGGAGCGGACATTCCTTCCTGAGGAGTCACACACCAAGATAAGTCACCCGGAGAGTCTAGGTGCCCTGGTCCTGGGAGAGCCCAGGCTTGAGCTGAAGAGCAGTGGCCAACCTATGAGAAGGGCAGACACAAAGACAGGTGGCTTCCCTATCATGTCCCTGACACTCAGTGACAGAAATGGGCACAGTAAGCCTAGGAAATCCACACACGTGGTTCTGGCCAATAGTCCAGACTGTTTTTCCAGCTGCTGCATCCCTCAGACCAAAAAAGCAACCATGGGGACCGGCTTTCTGTTCTCTTTCACTCTGAATGTGGTTTTGTTTGTTTGTTAGTTTGTTACTGGGGATTGAACTCAGGGACTCTTGACCACTTAGAAACATCCCCAAGCCCTAGTTTGTATTTTATTTACAGACAGCAGACAGGGTCTCACTGAGTTTCTTAGGGCCTCACTAAGTTGATGAGGCTGGCTTTGAACTCACAATCCTTCTGTCCCAGCCTCCCAAGGACTTCCAATGAGCAAAGAAAGTGTCAAACTAGCAATCAGCAAGGAAGAGTAAACAACCCGTTTCCTCATCATTCCCAGAGGTAAGGTCAGAAGGTACTTCTCTGAAATCTGAAATGATTTATCTTAAAGCCATTATAATAGGGAGGCCAGGCCCAGGGCAGACTATAAAGTAGGCCTGCAGCTTTGGATTGTATTTATCAGGCAGCTGACTTTCTGCGTCCTGCTAAGGAGTTACTCTAGGGGTGGGAGGGCAGCTGATGAACAGAAATAGCCCGCCTCACTCCTGTGCAGGGAGGAGAGTGTCTCAGGCACAGCTCCTGTGACTGGCTTGCTGAGCCAGGACCTCACCTTCCTGGTGAAGAGCAAGCGGGAACTCCCACTATCAGAATCTCCTTAGGCTCAACCTCCAGGGGCACTTCTGCAGTTCCCAAAGGCACTGCGTTGGAAAGCCTGCAGGCAGAGCCTGGGCCAGGGCCCAGGACAGCCTGGCCACATCACCCCATAAGTTAGAGACAAAGGCCAGGCTGACTAGAAAGAGGGGACTGTGAGCTGCCCAGCCTCTGCTGACTCCTGCCCATCTTCAGCACTCGGGCAAAGCTCAACCTCCGCAGCTGCCAACAGACACAACCCCCTCTCCTGCTCCCTTTTCTAGCCACCCCAATACTTCACTGGCTAAGAGGGTGCATTTTCATGACTCCAACTAGAAGTGTGTTTCTAATCATCCCTTGTGGAAATTTACCCAGAGGGCCACAAAATGCACACCACAACCTGTCTTGTGCCATTGGGAAGAAAAAATGGGAATTAACTCTCTGGGCCCTCCAGAGGACTGGGCCCAGGCCAGCCCTAGCTGGGTCCATGCAGCGACTGATGGGAACCCAGGTGGGGACCAAGGCTCAGTGCCAGAGCCAGACAGAGTGGGGTTTTGTTGTTTTTTTTTTTTTTTGTGAGGTGGGGGTGGGGACAGGTTGCCCAAACTTCTAAAGGGTTTAGTTCTCCCCACTAGACAACAGTCTCCTAAGAACCTAAAAGAAGAATCTTTCTCCTTTCTCCCTTCTTTCTCCCCAGATACCCTTTTCCCATTTAATCAGTTATTTCGGACTCCTGACTCATTTGGAAGTTTCACGGAGAGAAAAGTTGTTACGAACTGCACAGATCATGCTCACCCATCCCAGTAGATCTGGACTTTTTTTTCTGGCATTGAGGATTAAACTCAGGGGCGCTTAACCACTGAGCCGCATCCCCAGCCCTTTTTATTTTTTATTTAGACCAGGATCTCGCTGAGTTGCTTATGGCCTCACTAAGTTGCTGAGGCTGGCTTTGAACTCACGATCCTCCTGCCTCAGCCTTCTGAGCCCAGGGATCTTTTATAAACCAACATTCCCCTCTACTTGCTTTTTCAGTATCCAGCCCTATATCCAGTGCAGAATCATTTGTCAAGAAGAGGAATTGGGGAAATCTGTTCCTCAGAATCTGTCTCATTCACATGGACAAGAGAAGAGTAGCCATGGTTGAAAGTAGGGAAGAAGCCCAGAAGGCTCTCTCCCTGTGTGGCTCTCCACAAAGCCACATGGCCCCAGTGAGCCTGCCATGAGCTCCCATTTGGAGGTTCCTGATCCTCCTTGGCAAGAGCACCCTTAAGTTCCCAGCACAAGCTCTTCATGGGACAAGTGCTCGAGTACCCCCTCTTCTCAGAGGAATGCTGCCTGCCCTCTTGGGCTCTTAGCCACGGGGATTGGGCCTTTTCCCCATTCCTACCCTCCCTGCCCCAATCAAGGGTCCACCTGGAGTGGCCTCAGGAATGGGATTAGGTCAGGGCACAAAGATGACCACCCTCTGGCATCTGACATCTCGTAGGCATGTCTCAGAATGCTCACTCAGTGAGACCTGCAGGGGACTGACATTACAGATAGAACTTACTGGCCACAGAATCAGTGGCATGTGGCAATGGGAAAGGAGGCGAGGCCATCGCTCTGCCTGGGCCATGATAGTGGGGAGCTCCTCTAGCCACAGTCAGTCACATGGCACCCCACCTCTGAGCATCCATCAGTGCCCCTGCTGCTCGAACCCACCCGGCTCCTTCAATAAGCCCTTCTCCATGTGGGCTTTTCCCTTTAAGAAAACCCAAGTGAAAAGAACGTGTCCCTGGGGTAACTAAAGGGGTGATCTCCCTCTTTTTAGAAAAGAATATACTTGACATTATATAAAACAGCTGTTAGCACACCACAGCCTGCAGGCTGCTGCTGCTGTGCAGTACAAATTCAATGGCACACAGCCTCACCTGTTCCCTTATGTACTATTTATGGCTGCTTTATGCTTTAACAACCTTGCCAAAGAGTTTCTACACAGACCCTGTGGCCCAGGGTCCAAAATATTCACAACATCACCCTTTAAGAAAAAGATTGTCGCTGGGTGTGTGGTGCACACCTGGGATACCAGCAACTCTGGAGGCTCAGACAGGAGGATCTCAAGTTTGAGGCCAGAACTTGTTATGTCTGCTTGGGGCGGGGGTTGCCCTAGCTTCTGAAAATGTCTCAAAAAGGGCTGGTGGTGTGGCTCAGTGGTGTTGCACCCCTGAGTTCCATTCTCAGTACCGCCCCGCCAAAGGAAAAAAAAAGGTATTTTCTACCTATTGATCCCAAGTAAGCACCACTTCTTTTTTGGGGACGGGGGTAACTGGGGATTGAAATTGAACCCAGAGCACTTAAGCACTGAGCCACATCCCCAGCTCTTTTAATTTTTTATTTAGAGACAGGGTCTCACTGAGTTGCTTAGAGCCTCAATAAGTTGCTGAGGCTGGCTTTGAACTTGCAGTCCTCTTGCCTCAGCCTCCTAAGCTGCTGGGATGATAGGCATGCACCACCAAGCCAGCTTCCCCATAGTATTTTTTTTAAACAGTTTAACTTGCATCTACCCATAAACTATCATAGCTATTAAAAATGTGAGCGTAAAGCAATTACAAGGGTTTGTTACTCTGGAAGTTCTTCCTCATATTCATAAGGGCCCCAGGAAGCCTCAGTACTTACAGTTCCTTAAGATTCCTCATCGTGATAAAGGTGTCCAGCTGCACAGACCTGATGGCATTCTCTCCCAGGTCCCTGAAACACAACACAAGGACTTGTGCCAAGAAACCCCAGGTGCCCTTCCAGCCAGCCCCGTGTCTGAGCCAGGAGACCCGGAGGTTTTCCCTGACAGCCTTGGTTTCAGGTGACCCAGAGGTGATAACTCCACAGGAAGTGGCTCTCACACGTGTTGACACAGCACATGCGGTGACACGGGGACCCAACCTGTCTGAAGGGCAGCACAGAGGCGGGTGCAGGCCTGCTCAGCAAGTCAACTGCCACAGGCTCTCCCAGCAGAACCAGGGTTGAACTTGGTGCAGGGGTTGAACTTGGTGCAAAGAGGAAACAGACTCAAGCCCACCCACTCGAAGGAGCTACCCCAGATGGATGTGAAGTTCTCAGGGCTGGCTGGTCCCCTTACTCCCAGGGCCAGCCAGAGAAGCTCCCAGTGGGGTGCCGTATGTGTCACTCTGCTGGCTGGCCTAGTGGGGGTGGCAAGGAGACCAGGGCCCAGGGAGGAGTGGGGGCAGCAGCGACACAGGGCAGCGGAGGGAGGAAGGTATTGTCCACACACCAGCTGCATTCATGGGAATCACACCAACTGGCCATGTGTTCTGTGACTGCTCTGGCACAGGCAAGATAAGCACCAGCATTGAGGCAGCTGCTGCATCTAAACAGCCTGTTTCTCAGTTTACAAAGATGCCATTCAATCCTAGCTGACTTTGCGGTGGTCACCCTTGGCAGGCCTGGGGGTCAGGCAAGGTCTGGCAAGATACTCACAGGTGCTCCAGGCCTTCTAGCCCTGAGAACGCTCTCTTAGCCACGGACTTGATCTTGTTCCAAACAGAGTCCTGCAGATTCCAAACATCCAGGAAGAGACAGGGTGGGGGAAAAGGGGGGAGAAAGAATGTACAGTCAGCCTGTCTAGTGAGAGGCAGGAGAAGCTGACCTGCACTGAGATCCCAGGGCGGACACACACAGTCCTGCCCCTTCTGAGAGGAAACACTTTTTCCTCTATTAGAATTCAGGAGCAACGACAGGCTGAAGGTGCATTCACTTTAAGGCCTACAAAGGCCTCCTGCAGACTCCATCTCACTGCAGTCAGAACAGTGATCGTTAAGAATACAACTAACAATAAGTGTTGGTGAGGATGTGGGGAAAAGGCACACTCATACATTCCTGATGGAACTGCAAATTGGTGCAACCACTCTGAAAAGCAGTCTGGAGAGTCCTCAGAAAACTTGGAATGGAACCATCATTTGATCCAGGTATCCCACTCCTTGGTCTATATCCAAAAGACTTAAAATCAGCATACTACAGTGACACGGTCACATCAATGTTTATAGCAGCCCCATTCACAATAGCTAAGCTATGGAACCAACCTAGGTGCCCTTCAACAGATGAATGGATAAAGAAAATACAGTGTACATACACAATGGGATATTACTCAGCCTTAAAGAATGAAATTATGGCATTTGCAGGTAAAAGGATAGAACCAGAGACTATTTTGTTAAGTGAAATGAGTTCATCCCAAAAAACAAAGGTCAAATATTCACTCTGATTTGTGAATGCTAGCCCAAAACAAGGGCGGCTGGGGAATATTAGAAATCCATTGCATTAGAAAAAGGGAAATGAGGGGAAGGGAAAGGACGGGAATGGGAAAGACAGTGGAATGAATGGGACAGAACTTTCCTGTGTTCATATATGAACACATGACCAGGGAAACTACACGTCATGTCCAACCACAAGAATGGGAAGTTAGACTCCATGATGATCTGACATATGTATGATATGTCAAAGTACACTCTACTGTCCTACATAACTAATACGAACAAATAAAATCCATTGAACACACACTTATACTACCTGGCCCTCTGTCTCCAAGGGCCCCTGAAGGGGGTTGGGGGTGAGGCAGGCAATAGCATCACAAGAGACAGGCTGGGTAGTCTCTCAGTGAGGAAAAACAGAGAAGGTAATGAAAACACAAGTGGGTGTGTGGCAGCCACCTGGGGTTCACGATACTGTTTTGTCTTGTCTGTTGTCATGGTGTGCAAAGGTTTATGCATTAGATTGGAAAGAGAAAAGCGGATCTTGGTGCACAGCTCTAGGTTGACCACCTGTGCTTTGTGTTGAGTGACCACTTAAGGAGGGAACCATGCTGCTTGGATCCCCTCTTCTGCTGGGTTTTATCCCATTGTCCCTGGGAGCTCTGTGGCAAGGCTGTGCTGGAAGATGTGGCCATCACACTGCATTGCCCCATCTGGATGGGCTGGCCCCAGACTGCAGGGCTCCCCTGGGCAGTGTGGAGCATTCCAGCACAGAGGAGCCATGTGGAGATACTGCGAGGTGGCCTGGGTCTGCCTTTGGAGAGCTTGAGAGGCTGGTCTTTCTGGATCTGCCTCTGAATGGGGAGGTGAGCTACTCCTGAGGTCCTTCCTAGCTCTCCACTGGCCAGGCCTAAATGAAGGTGTTTTCCCACTAAGAGCAGCAGAGCCCTCTGTGACCACGGGGTGGATGTTGCCCTTCCTTGTTCCAGGTTTTGAGCTCAGGTAGTCCCTCATGCCCAGCCATTGATAGTTCTTCAATATAGCTCTTCCTGGTGCTGCTGGAGTGTTCCTTTCCCCTAGGTGACCTGTCTCTAAATAAAATACAAAATAGGGCTGGGGTCATGGCTCAGTGGTTGAGTGCCCCTGAGATCCATCACTGGTATACAAAGAAAAAAAATGATTTCAGGGACAGTGTGGCAGAGGCTGCCCACCTGGGGACGCTCACTTCAACAGCAGGACCCAGTGTCCTGACAGGCACAATGTGCAGCTTCTGCTTGGTGACACAACACTATAGGGTTGTCATTCCCTCAGGCACCATCCCAGGGGAAGGAGACATTCAACATCAGCTATGCACACATAACACATCAGCTTGGAGTCCAATTCCCACCCAAAGCCATTGGGAGTGGAGTTCATAGAACTCTCAGAGAGGCCTTTGGGGCACCGGCTCTGCCCTCTTCTGCTCTCTTGCCCAGGACGCTGTCGCTCGGTCACCCCCACAGTGAATGCCATACAAGATGCACAGGTTCTTGAGTCCCTTGAAGGTGCCTTCAGTGATGTGGCTGATGGAGTTGTGGCTGAGGTGCAGGATGCTCAAACTGCCCAGCTTGGCCAGGCTCTTCTCATCCAGCCACGTGAGGTTGTTGAAGGACAGGATCCTGGAGAGGTGAAAGGGCTGAAGTCATTATCAGGCCTCACGGAGTTGCTTACAACAGCCCATGGGATCTCCGTGGGCAGGGAGTATCTCACAGTGAACGTGCAGCTAGGTCATCCACCTGTTCTAACAACGGGAATGGCCATGCAGGTCCTGGTGTGGTTAAACTGTAAGGACGGCACAAGGTCACGTAATACAAAACCTCCCTGCTGGTGTCTAGGCTGGTCCTGATTCAGACCTTTCTTGGCAGAGGCCCGACACCATAGGTCCCTTGTGGATCAGATGCTGCCACTCCACGCGCTGGACAGCAGAGGGCGCCATGCATCCCTGCCTGGGACAACCATTGCAGGGCCTCAGCCTCAGGCTGGAGGCTCTGGCCTGAGTGTCACCTACTCTCCCTGTGAGCAGGACAGGACACGCCCCAAATCACCCATTTAGCCTGCATGTGAGACTCCAACCCTCCTCCCAGACACACTTGCATTTCTGACACAACCCTGGCGCTGATCACTTGGCATATGGGTCATCTCTGGTTGAAAAATGGGAAGTTTGGGCTGGGTCAGGAAGAAGAAAAATAGTATCAGTGAAGATTAATGGGTTTTTAAATGGGGCAGCAGGCAGCTTTCTTTCCCTGCTGGAGAAATAAGTCATGGTGTCTGTCAGTCACAGGACCTGGCAGGAGACCAAAATTATATCCTCACCTGCAATTAAGGAATTTAGCTTACGGGAGGGGTGGGAAAGCAACCCTCAGCCTGGCTCTGAGGTGACCTGAGAACACGGCAAGCTTCTAGAACTGGTCAAGGCACGCATCAGTGACCCCCGGCCCCTCTAAAGGGCACAGCAGACAGCGGTCCACAGCCAGAAAGAGGAGCAGGGAACTCAAAGCCCCATCAAGGCTCTGAAGCACAGCTTCTCCAAGGAGGTCACACACCCTCTGCCGAGTAGCAGGATGGTGGCTCCTCACCCTAGGAACTAGACAGGTTCAGAACTGTGGGACTCAACACCTGCCCTGCTTCCCCAGGGCTCCTGGCCGAGGACAACAGAGAACCACGTGTCCCTGGAGTCCCCTCATGCGGTCCCTGCCTGAGCAAAGAGCTTGTCATCCAATACCACAAGAGAGACGAAGCAGCACCCTAAAGCACCAGGAGGGCGAATCTAACACCCTAAGTCCAAGGGCAGTGAGCAGGAGGGAGAGGCAGGCTGCTGCATGGCACACACTCTGACCACTGACCCACAGAGACCAAAACGCCAGGTCACCAGAGGGATGCATATGAGCTCTTGATGCGAGGGACACACAACGGGAGGGACCAGGTAAGGACTCTGGCAGTGAGCGCAGCATGAAGTTCCGAGGCCCCTGCGAGTGTGCCTGGCACCCGTAACACTTGCTCACATTAAGTAACAATTTTTATAGGCCAAGCCTACGACAAGTGGGAAAGTAGAAAACCCTCCCAAACTCTCCTGAAAAATAAAGAAACCCAACCGGACTAAACTAGAGCATTGTAAAACTGAAAATTTCTACCTAGCAAGGACCTGTTCCCCCAACACAAGCAGAGATCTAGAAACGGGTGCAGACACGGAAACATGGCCACATTCTCCAACCCTCGGCTACGCAGCTCCAGCTGTGCATGCAGGACAGAGAGGGGACCCAGGTTCCCTCTCCAGGGGTCACCACTGTGGCTCTCAGCTTGGGCAACAGTGAGCTCAGGTGCTCTCAGGCCCAGCCTGGGTGTCTCGCCTGGGGATCTTCCAAAGGGATGCGGGGTGGGGAGGGGGGGGCTGTGAGCCTCCATTCACATTCACCTTCTCCACCAGGCACGACAGGTAAAGAGAGGAGCCAGGTCCCTGGGGAAGCTGACCGAGATACAAGCGCTGAGGACACACAAATTTTTTTCACAGTCAGTGGGTTGCCATTGTTCTGTTCATGCTCCCAGTGTCTCTCTCTCTCTCTCTCTCTCTCTCTCTCTCTCTCTCTCTGATACTGGGGCTTAAACTCAGGGGTGCTCTACCACTGAGCCACATTGCCAGCTTCTTCTTTTTTTTTTTTTTTGAGATAGGTCCCACTAGTTTACCGAGGCTGGCCTCAAACTTGTGATTCTCTGACTTGGCCTCCCAGGTCACTGGCATTACAGGTGTGCCACACCATGGCCCAGAGGCCTAAGGTACCATCCCTCTCCAATAAGCTACAGTGAGAAGGGTTCTTTAGGTTGCCCTTCCCAGACAGAGCCCTTGACTTCAGGAGCTTTTTCCATACCCAAGAAATCCCTGGGGACAGAGGCTCCTCATGGGGACTGACAGGTTACACCTCTATTAATCCAAAATTAGGATGTAGGAAGGGCCTGGAGCTCAAAGCCCTGACAGTCCTGCTTTGGGCCTGGCTGGCCTGGATATCTGTCCTTCTTTCTGCCAGAACAAGGCCACTGGCAGGCCTGCCTCTGAGCTGCCTTTGCCCCAGAGGCCTGCACCCCTTTCTAGTCCACTGCTCTCTGGGCTCTGGAGGATCTACCTCCACACCCCAAAGCCGAGAGCACTTACAACTTACACAGCTTCTGACAGAAGTTCCACCCGCCTCGGTGGATGTGCAAGATGGAATTGTGTCTGAGGTGCAGCTGGTGCAGGGCCATGAGGCCGAAGAGGGAGCCGCTATTCACTTCCACCAGGCTGTTGTGCTCGAGGTGTCTGCAATGACAACGCCAGGGTAAAGGAGTCCGACCTTTACCCAATACCCGGAGTGTGCCTGGTCAGCGCTCCGGAGTGTGCCTGGTCAGCGCTCCAATTAGACACGGTGGTCACACTGAGGATGTAAGAGCACAAGGGAAGCTTGGAGACCCCCTGCTGTGCACACACATGATGGAGAGAAGACGGGCAGACCCCAGTGGAGGGTCTGAAGGCCAAGACATACTCAGAAAGTTGGGAAGGGCAGGGGACGTTATCCATAAGTCAGTTTTAGCTGAGTCAAAGTGAACCAGACAGATGAGTGGGCAGAGGAGCTCTCAGCAAGGGCAAAGCCAGGAGAGGAACAGAGAGAGAAGGGGAAAAGGGAAGCAGCCCTTATCCTCAATCAACTGATAAAATCTACTGTGCCAGGAGACATGGCATTAGCTCTGGGATCCAATGACTGTATGATTTTTGTTTTTCTGGTACTGGGGATTGAACCCAGGAGTGCTTAAACACTGAGCCCCAGCCCCAGCCCTATTTATATTTTTTATTTAGAGATAGGGTCTCACTGAGTTGCTTAGGGCCTTGCTAAGTTGCTGAGACTGGCTTTGAACTCATGATCCTCCTCTCTCAGCCTCCTGAGAAGCTGGGATTACAGGTGTGTGCCACTACTCCTGGCTCCATGACAACAAGATTTAAATCTTGATTTTGCCATTTTGATGGCTTAATGAGTCTGAACACCTGTGAAATGGAAATATCCAGTAGAATCCACCTCATGGCGCTATATGGAGAGGGAATACAGAATGTACATTGGGGTTGTGGGCAGTGCGAGGATCTGGCTCCCTACAAACTCATTAAGTATGTACAGTAGGTCCCTGACTTACAATATTCCAACTTGTGATGTTCGCACTCTATGAAGGTATGGAGACTAACACACATTCTGCAGAAACTCCACTTGGAATTCCAAATTTAGATCTTTCCTACCTGGTACAATCCTTTCTCAATGCTGGGAGTGGCAGAGAGATGGCTCCCCGTCAGCCCTGTGCTCACCAGAGACAACAGCTGACACTCTACCATGTGTTGTGCTGTAAGCTAGAATGCCCTGGGGACTAGATATTAAGTGTATTTTCAACTTATGACATCCTCAGCTCACAGTGGGCTTCTCGGAATATGACCCCATTGAATGAAGAGTATCCGTGTGCCATTCCCTCACGTCTCAGTATCCTCACCAATGACAACTCTGCCCAGACACCTGGTTTCTCTCATGGAAGTTACGAATGCACATTTTGCTCTTTTTTTTTTTTTTTTGGTACCAGGGATTGAAGTCAGGGATGCTTAACCACTGAGCCACACCCCCACCATTTTTTTTATATTTGATTTAGAGACAGGGTCTCTCTGGACAGGACCTTTGTAAGTTGCTGAGGCTGACCTCAAACTTGCAATCCTCCTGCCTCAGCCTCCTGAGCCACTGGGATTACAGGCACACACCACCATCACCCGTCCTAATTTGTATAAATTCATTCCACATAAAAACGAAATGGTAGAGCCTCACACTGTTTTCTTCTGAAAATTCTCTTCATCCTCAGACCATCAACAACTTAGAACTTCAGATTCTAAATGACAGGCTTGAGGAAGGAAGAGTGTTCTGGAATATGCACCACAGAGCTCCAGCCCAGCTGAAGTGGCAAAGGAGGAGAAGCCACTGGCATCCTGGTCATGCAAAGCAGAGATGCTTCTGCACAGTACTCCGTGGGGCCTGGACCTAAGCTTCTGGGCTTGGTTTAAGTTATAAAGACAAGTAGTGAAGGAAAGAAGTGGGTAAAAATATTGGTGCAGGTGTGTCAACTTGGAAGTAACCAACCACAAACAGGAAAACCAAGAGGAACTGCTGAGACCCAACTGTCTCCTGAGAGAAGAACAGGGATGGGGAGGGAGATGGAGGGAGGGGATGGACAATGGGTGGGCAGCAGCTGCTTTGTTTACTATCTGATTCATTCACGCAGAGGCATCACCTCTGATGAAAAATAAACAAATTTAAATGTTGAACGACAGCAGATTGCGTTCCTCTGCCTTTTTTTAAAATGTTGCCTTTGTTTCTGGCAGGCCTTGGCTCTGATATTGGACACATCTGGCCAAAGATAACATTCTCTTGATAAAAGCTACACATCTTGGGCTGGGGATGTGGCTCAAGTGGTAGCACGCTCGCCTAGCGTGCGTGCGGCCCAGGTTCGATCCTCAGCACCACATACAAACAAAGATGTTGTGTCCGCCGAGAACTAAGAAAAAATAAATAAATATTAAAATTCTCTCTCTCTCTGTCCCCCTCTCTCTCTCACTCTCTTAAAAAAAAAAGCTGCACATCTGCAACAAGTGCCTTGATGAGCTCACAAGACAAAAATAAATCTCCTGTGATGAACTATATATTTTGGGTCCACCTGCACATCAAGGAAGACTGTCAAACTCAAAATGGGGAGGGAAGGAGCTTCCTGTGGAGTGTGGGAGTGGAGAGGATGTGGGGAAGGATCTGTTCCACAGCGAGAAAGTGGGGGGTGGGAGGAGGCCCAGGAATGGGGCTCCTTCCTGCAACACCTGACCTGATTCACAAAAACCTCCTCCAAGAGATGTTCCTACTCTGCTATGGAAACACCAACAGATTTGGTTGAGTCTGCAGAAACACTGAGTTGGGACCACAGCAAGGCTCAAAGGACAGGTGGCCTTCTGGGCGTGGTGGAGCAGGACTGTCATCGAGGCAGCTCAGGAGGCTGAGGCAGGAGGATCATGAGTTCAAAGCCAGCCTCAGCAAAAGTGAGGCGCTCAGCTACTCAGTGAGACCCTGTCTCTAAATAAAATACAAAATTTATTGGGGATGGGGCTCAGGGGTCAAGTACAATCCCTGGTACCAAAAGAAAAAAAAAAGAAAGAAAAAGGAAAGGTGGCCTACTCTCCACCTAGTGCTCAGCTGAATGGACACACACAGGCTTCCCCACTCCCCACAGAGGCAGGTTGCAGAGGCCATGGCCTCACCCTTGGGCTGGAGCCCTGCCAGGGCCCGCCCACACTTACAGCACATGCATATTGGACAACCCCCAGAAAGCACCATCAGTCAGCTTGCTGATATTGTTTCTCTGGAGCTTCAGCACCTCCAAGCTGTCCAGGCCCTGGAATGTGAGGCCCTGGATCAACTGAATCTGATTCCGATTGAGGTCCCTGAAGAGAAGAAGCCCACAGGCTCAGAGCCTCCCTGTGCACATTCCATACACACACACACACACCCATGCCGAGTTTCCCAGCCAGTGAGCCAGCAGGTATCGAATGCAAGAACATTTGCAGTAAGGGCATCTGTCGGGATCTCCATGTATGGAGCAGAGTGAGCAAGAGCAGTGGGGGACACCCCATGAAGCACACACATTCACTTGCTGGCTCTAGTACTAGAGAGCTTTGGGGGACCGAAAAGACTCTGGGTGGCCTGGAGGGGCAGGGAAGGACACACAGAGCTAATAGGACAGCCCTGGTTTCCCTGAAGTATTTCTGCAGCATCTCGTGACCCAACCTCCTCAGCATCATGGAGACCTTCTCCGCAGACAGCCCAGGATCCACACCCTGCTGAGCCTCAACAACTGTTCTCATCAATTTAAACCAAATTTCCACTACTGGCTTATTTTCCTGATATTTACTTTTCCAATAATAAAAAGAAGCCGAAAATCAATCAATCAATCAATCAAGAGCCAGGCGTGTTGGCACAGGGCTATAATCCCAGTGGTGCGGGAGGATTGTGAGTTCAGAGCCAGCCTCAGCAACTCAGAGAGGCACTAAGCAACTCAATGAGACTCTGTCTCTAAATAAAATACAAAATATGGCTGGGGAGGTGGCTCAGTGGTTGAGTGACCCTGAGTTCAATACCCAGTACCAAAAAGAAAAAAAAAAGCAAGAGACAATCATAAATCATCCACCTTGTAAGATTTAGGAGATAAAGATTGCCATCTTCTGCTTACCACCTCTAGCCATGCTAACTTCCTGCTAAATTCAAGAAATGTCAAGGATACCATCAAGCCTGAGGTACATATTTTATGGGTACCTTTCAAAACAACACTAAAATCTCTGAGATAAATAAACAGAATGCATGCAGCCTAAGCACTAGCCACATTAGCTAACCAGCAGGATTCCTCATGTCATCGAAGAGGACACCAGCATGGACCCATATTCAGTGGACCTCACCCCTGCAAGATGAGGTGGGCCACCGGCACCAGACCTAGCTCCAATCTGCTTTTACTAGGTGTTGCCATAGGGGCATTAATTATGGTTCATGCAGAACTTTACTGGGGGCGGGTGGGGGAGTAGGGGTTGCATTCGGTGCTAGGTCCTTCAGGAAGTTTGGCCCCCATAAAATTGGGGCAATAACCTTAATTGAAGTGCTGGTTTCTGTACTCACAGTTGTGTCAGCCTGGGTAACTTGAATGCTTTTATAGGAAGCTGGGTGATCCTGTTTTTGCTCAGGTGAAGAAAAAGCAGCGACCCTGACAGGCCATCAAATGCTCCCAACTCCAGGGTACCAATGTGCTTGCTGGCCAGGTTGCTGGAACGAGTCAGGAGAGAAAATATCACAGCCTTAGGAGGCCTTCCTTGTTCTGTTACAGACACCAGACCCAGCTGGATCTGAGCTGGGAAAACACGCTAAGACACACCCAGAGGGACAGGTTTCCCGAGGAGACGTCTGTTATCATGAGGCTTCAGAGCCTGCCCTGCCACTGCAGGTGGCAAGACTGTCCAAGGTCAACCTCCACTCAGCCCAGAGCACACAGCACCTGTGGCTAGTGGGCCCAAGAAGGCGGGAATGACCATAAGACACCTTCACCCCCAGCCCTGCTGCAAACCTGCCAACCTCGGGCCACACCTGGCCCGCCACCCTAGGCTGATGAGAAAAGCCCTACACAAAGCACAAAGTCAGCTCAGAGGCCAGGTCAGATTCCATTCCACAATTTGGGGAATCAGTCTTTAATCCTGAAGTGGGTCTCATTTTTGGACTTACATAATAAGTGTGTATAAGCCAATTCCTTAAAATGATTTTAAATACCTGAAAGAAACCCCTCTAGTTAAAGAGACCTAAGGCAAGTTCTTTAAAAAGAAAGCCATACCATGCCTGTAATAACAGTAGCTTGGGAGGCTGAAGCAGGAAGAACGAGAGTTCAAAGCCAGCCTCACCAAAAGCAAGGTCCTAAGCAACTCAGTGAGACCCTGTCTCTAAATAAAATACAAAATAGGGCTGGGGATGGGGCTCAGTGGTTAAGTACTCCTGGTTCAATCCCTGGTACCCATGCCTCTGCCAAAAAAAGACAAGCACTACTTTTTCAGGGCCATCTTCTTTGACCGTACTGAGCGGATGGACTGCAGTGTACAACACAGATATGTGTGTCACACTGTGTGCAAAACATAGCAAGCAGTGGAAAAGAAAAGGAAAAAACATAAAGGGAATAAAATAAATCAGTATTCCTATGAGAAGTTAACCCTCAACACCCTTCTTACTGCTTTTCCTAGACAAAATTTTGGTGTTTTTTTTTTAAACAAAACAAAACAAAACAAACAAACAAACAAACAAAAAACAGCACCTAAGTGAAAAGGAGAAAGCCCAGGGATTCTTCTACCCTGGGGGGAAGGAACAAGGCTCCTCTGGATTCTTTACCAGGCAGAGTCCCAGCACAGGGCACATGAGGATTCTCTAAAAATGGGGCTGGACTGTTTGTTCTTGACATTCCAGATTAGAGAACAGCCTCTGGGATGAAGATAGAGCAGCCACAAGCTGCCAAAAGAGAAAATCCCTCCTGCTTTCTTGCAGGGACAGAAAGTCAGTGCAATTCCATTTAGCGGTGGTGATGTGATTTCTTGGTTCTGAGCAAGGGAATGTCGGGCAGCAGCTGGACACCTCAGGACAGGCTCCACTTGAGGCTTAACAAAGGCCAAGGCCTCCTGTTCCCGATTTAGGAACAGGAGAATGACTTGGAAAATCTAGGGGCCAAGGTTCATCTTCCCTGAAGAGATGGGTCATGACCACCTCTAAACAGGACTTGCAAATGAGCTCCAAAATGACTCCAAAACAGTGATGACAAAGGGAATGCAAACTCACTCAGATTTGGAAATGTCTCTTCAGATTCTTCCCCAGAGCAACACTTTCCTACCCACAGGCCAGGGGTGCTGCAGGTTTTATCATTTTTACACCTGTCTACCATCCACACTGCAGGTAAGATGGGGCCTGAACACAGGTAAGAGACACATCAGCACAGTCCTGAGAACACACAGAACCAGGAGCCGCCTTCCCAGACAGATCCTGTGAGCTGTCTGATCACTGTGTGACGCTAGGAAGAAAGAGCCTGGAGAGTCTGCAAAGCACTCTCTCTGCAGTGTGGGCCTCTAAGCTCCCCTGAGCCTTCTCTCCGAGCTCTGCTGGGAAGCAGCCCAGTAAATTGGAGTAAAAGCAGGCTCTATGGTCAGGGCAGACCTCAGAGTCTTGAACTCTTCTGTCTGAGGGGTGAGCTTCCTGGACAGGCGAGTCCACTTCTCCCTGCCCAAGGTGTCCACCTTGGGTGTAACACAGACGAATACTATAGGACTGGAAATGTTCCATCAGTGGGCATCAGAGGCCAATCCCTCCTGCCTTGCACCATCCCCAGGGCTGAAAAATTGTTATGGTTTGGATGTGAGGTATCCCCCAAAAGCTCACGTGTGAGATGGTGCAAGAAGGTCCAGGAGAAATGACTGGGTTGTGAGAGCCTTAACCCAACCAGTGAATGAATTCCTGATGGGATTAACTGGGTGGTGGCTGGAGGCTAGTGGGTGTGGCTGAAGGAGGGGGCATGGGGGCATGGCTTTGGGGTCTCTATTTGTCTCTGGAGAGTGGAGTCTCTCTCTGCTTCCTGATCACCATGTGAGCTGCTTCCCTCCACCACACTCTTCCTCCATGATGTCCTGCCTCCCCTCGAGCCCTGAGGAATGGAGACTGCTATCTATGGATGGAGACGTCTGAAACTGTCAGCCCCCAAATAAACTTTTCCTCCTCTACAATTTTCTGGTTGGGTTTTTTTTTTAGTCACACAGTAGTGAAAAACCTGACCAAAGCAGAAGAGAAATATGCAGACTGTGTACAGACCTGGGAAATGGAGGCCTCCACCTGATCTAGAAACAGAGGGACAGCCCCAACCACAGAAGTACTTACAGCTCACTTATGTACAGTCCAGGGGGAAAGCAGCCGCTCCGGAATTCCATGATATTATTCAAACTCAGATCCAACACTTCCAAGGAAAGGTAGGCCTTCAGCTGGCTCCCTTTCATGCTGTGGATCCTGTTGTGTTGCCTGAAACACACAAGTGGAGGTGACTCGTGCATTTCTTTTTGCAGAGTAACTACAAGAGCCAGGCATAGTGGTGAACACCTGTGATCCCAGTGGCTCAGGAGGCTGAGGCAGGAGGACCTTGAGTGCAAAGCCAGCCTCAGCAACTTAGTGAGGCCCTAAACAACTCAGTGAGACCCTGTGTCTAAATCAAATATAATAAGTGTAAGAATTCTCTTTCCTATTTTACTAGTTGTTTGCTCTTTTATAACATGATCCTCTAGTGACACTCAAAATGAGTTTTCCTGTTGTTCTTCCAATCCATGATCAGCTGCTGACTTCAGAGAGTATGCTGGATTTTCTCATATGGGACAAGCTGTTTTCAAAAGTATGGGGCAAGAACACAGGGTTGATCTCTAAGTACACAATCATGGCATGACCTGCATCTACCTATATACCCACCATAAAAAATGTACCAGTGCAATTGGGCAACTCCAAACCAATAACCTTCTGCAATCTTCAGGACACAGTCCACTGCCATGAGATAAAAGGCTTGTAGGCATGAGTCCAGGTTTAGTCATATGGCTGTGTGCAGTATTGGGGATTAAACCCAGGGTCTCATGGATGCTAGGAAAGTGCTCCACCACTGAGCCACATCCTCAGCCCTCTCTGATCAGTTTAATCCAACTTCACAAATCACTACGCACTTTCACAAATCACTACTGACACCTCCCATGTGCCAGGCATGGAGACATACAGGAGATTAAACACACACAACACACACACACACACACACACACACACACACAGAGAGAGAGATAAAATCGTGGTAATCCTCATACTTTGCTGGTGGGACTGCATTTGACCCAGTTACCCCACTCCTCAGTATAATACCCAAAGGACTTAAAATCAGCATACTACAATGACACAGTCACATCTATGTGTATAGTAGCTCAATTCACAAAATCCCAGCTATGGGACCAACCTAGATGCCCTTCAAAAGATGAATGGATAAAGATAATGTGTTATATATACACAATGGAATATTACTCAGCCTTAAAGAAGAATGCTAATCTTGGCATTTGCTAGTAAATGGGGGGAAATGGAGATTATCATCCTAAGTGAATGAAACACACCAATTCCAAGAAAAACAAAGGCTGAATGTTCTTTCTGATATGCAGGTGCTAATTCAAAATGGCAGGTGAGTAGGGAAGAATAGAGGTACTTTAGATTAGGCAGAGGGGAGCAAAGGGAAGGGAGGGTGTTTGGGGGGTAGGAAGGATAATACAAGAATGGGACATTATTACCCCATGTGCATACATAATTACATGACTTGTGTGATTCCACATCATGTACAACCAGAAGAAGTTATACTCCATTTATGTTGGATGTTTCAAAATGCATTGTACTGTCATGTAAAACAAATTTTAAAAAATAAAATCATTAAAAAAAATTTTAAAAATAAAATCCTGGCACTCTGCAAAGGGAGAGAGGAGCTCACTGCTGGGTCTCACTGAAATCAAATCCCCTGCAGCTCTAATGGTGTTGTTCCTCAGTTTTCTCATCTAAATGATGGAGCCGAAACCTGTCATTTCTGGAATATGGGCAACCCAACTTAAAACCATGCTAAAGGGATAGCAGACACTAAGGAAAGTGCTCTGAGGGTGTCCTTCCCACCTAGGAAGGCACTGTCCACTATGATTTATTTTCATCTTTAACCCTCAAGGCCTCTGACAAACCCCAAATCTAACCAAGGGACCAGCAGCCATTAATCAGGACAAAGGTAACTAATGCTAAGCGGGGCAGGGCCATGGGCCTATTGTGAACATGGCTCTGCCTCGCAGATTCAAACTGGGTCAAGAAATGCATGAGAATCTGCTTGGTTGCCAGGCGCAGTGCTGCCTCTCATCCCAGTGGCTCTGAAGGCTGAGGCAGGAGGATCGCAGGGTCAAAGCCAGCCTCAGCAACTTAGTGAGGCCCTGAGGAACTCAGTGAGACTCTGTCTCTAATTAAATACAACATAGGGCTGGGGATGGGGCTCAGTGGTCGAGTGCCCCTGAGTTCAATCTCTGGTACCCACCCTCCTCTCCCCACCTTAAAAAAGAATCTGCAAGGTAGCAGTGCTGTCCTGAGGGTTCTAGGCACACACTTCTGCCAGGTTGAGAAAAGAGGGGCACCTGTCCAGCCAATCGGAGCCAGGAAGCCAGCCATCGCTTACCAAGTGGCATCTCCTTTAAACCAACCCTTGAACATTGGTTCCAACAAGGCAGGAACGAGGACCTCTTTCCCTGAAGTTTGGGGGCTCCCTCGGCTCCTTTTGTTGGTGGTGGTGGTGTTTTTTTCTTTTCACAAGTCTCCCAGGCCCTAAATTCAAAACTAGATTTACAAGGGCCCAACTCTGCTGACAGGGGGGCCTCCTTCTAATGAAAAGACCCTTCCCTCAACCTCCCCTCAAAGTAATTGCATTCCTTTGTACAAGGAACTTGAGGCTCCATGAATTGGTATTTTTTTTGGGGGGTGGTGACCTGCATAACTATATATAGAATCCCTAGAACTGACAGCAACAGAGAACAAATGTCCTGATCAAAACGTGGGCAAAGGGGACCTGGGGCTGGGGCTCTTGCCTAGTATGTGTGAGGCACTGGGTTCGCCTCAGCACCATATAAAAAAAAGCTTTTTTGAAAACGTAATTTTTTTGGACTGTTTCCTTTGATCCTCAAGTAGTCTAAGTCCTGTTCAACTTTTTGTCAAGAAGTTCCAAACCACTAACTGTGGCTCCAATTTCACTGCTTTTTAGCTGTACCCCCAAACAAAGCTCCAAATTATAAGGACATGTTCTAAAGGGGGGAAAAAACAGAAAAAGTCAAAAGTGAGTTTCAACTTAGGAAAATTTACATGATAACGAATGAGTGAACACTCCTGGGGCTGAGGTAGGAGGATCAGAAGTTCAGAGCCAGCCTCAGCAATTTAGCAAGGCCCTTAGGGAGACCCTGTCTCCAAATATAAAGGGGCTGGGGATGTGGCTGGTGGAAGAGCAATGCTGGGTTCAATCCCCAGTATCCAAAAAAAAAAAAAATGAAAAAAGAGAAAAGCTCAAGAATTTCCACTGAACGCAGTAACAAATTTCATGTGGAGGAAATGTAGATATTTAAGGCATAGAAAATAAAACTTCTAAATCCTGTATGGTAAGTAAATCTTGTAGGAGTCTAATTACTACAGGAAACAAATTTTTCAAAATTGGCACTGGACAAAGAAGCAACCCAGACACATCTAGAGAGACTGGAAAATTCTGTCTGAACTGGATCAATAAAAGGAGGAGAATGGGAATCAAAATTGCAGAAGGAAACCACTGGGCTCTACATACTAGGCTGCTGAGTTTCCACCCTGAAAGGTACAATTGAGAGGTCTCCTCTGAAAGCTGCCATGCCCCTTGCTTGGAATTAGTCAACATTTACTTTGAGCCTAAAGGGAAAAGGAAGCAAGGTTGAGCACCCTTTATCCAAAGTGCTTCGGGCCAAAAATGTTTCAGATTACAGATTTTTTCAAATTTTAGAATGTATGCATGGCGATGAGACCCAAGTTTATACATGAATTCACCTATGATTCACATGACCTGGAGGTAATTTTATATACCATTTTAAAATACATCTGTGTGAAGGAAAACAAAGTTTCACAGTATGGAATTTTCCACTCATGGTGTCATGCCAGGACTCAAAAATTTCAGATTCTGAACTATTTTGGATTTCAGATTAAGAATGTTCAACCTGTGCTTTCTTTGTGGGATATTTGCTTTTCCTCAACAACACCTAAAGGTCTATGCAAGGGTCCCTCACTGAGGCTCCTACCACACACCCTCTTGCTCTTTGCTGCCTGAGGTTTCAATCTAAAGATTCCACTCAGAGGCATCAAACATGCGAACATCATTTTATTTTATTTGATTTTGTGCTAGAGATTTAACCCAGGGGTGCTTAACTACTGAGTTCTTTTTATATTTTATTTAGAGACAGGATTTCACTGAGTTGCTTAGGGCTTTGATAAGATGCTAAGGCTGGCTTTGAACTCACAGCCCTCCTCTCTCAGCCTCCAAGCCACTGAGATGCAGAACATTTTTAAAAGTGGGTGCAGTGGCCTGTAATCCCAGCAACTTGAGAGCCTGAGGAGGTTCACAAATACAAGGCCAGTTTGGGCAATTTAGTGAAAGCCTGTCTTAAAATTAAAAAAAAAGAAGAAGAAAAGATTGAAGATGTAGCTCAGTGGTAAAGTAACCCTGGTATTGATCTCCATTATTGCCCCCAAAAGAGTACTTTTTAATTAAGTATACTAAACACCAACAAATTTACCAAGTCTTACCATCCTGTGATGTTATTCCCTCTTTGTTTCAATCAGGACAGAATCATAAACCTGAACATGCTTTTGTGTGCTTTTCCACACAAAGCACAACAACCATGGGTGTCCTTCCCTTACACTTAAGTCCCCTGCAGTAAACACAGAGCTCAGCAGCACTGCAAACACTGCCATCACACAACCCAAGTTTCCAGGCACTGCAGGTAGAGATTAAAGTCAAACAGCCCTTAACATATAGGAAATTAAGGGACCAGCCCAAGATCCCACTGGCAATCAGCAGCAGAGAAACCCCAAGGTCTTCTGAAACTCAGCCACATGCTATTTTTCCATTTTACCACGTTCCTGCCCTCGTAGCTTTAGAAAATTAAGTTTTTTCCTTTTAGGTCAACAGCTTTCAGCCCTCCCCCCAGTTAAGAAACTTACAAGATTTCACACTCACTAGGTGCAGTGACGCACGCCTATAATCCCAGTAGCTCAGGAGGCTGAGGCAAAAGGATCAAAAGTTCAAAGCCAGCCTCAGCAACCAAGTGAGGCCCTAAGCAACTCAGTGAGACCCTGTCTCTAAATAAAATATAAAAAAGAGCTGGGGATGGGGCTCAGTGGTTATGTGCCCTTGAGTTTAATCCTTAGTATCAAAAAAACAACAAAAACAATAAAAAAGATTTCATATTAAACCAAGTACTACCAGAGACCCACGACTCAATAAG